CTAAACTGTCTAAAGGTGTCAGTGCGTGTTTGTCCAAAAATCATGAAAAGAAACTTCACTGTCTGTTAATTGCTTTGCAATTACACATGGAAATTACATTGAAATAAATGTGAGTTTTAATTTAATATATCCTGAGAGTGTTTATTTGGTCTAGAATAAGTATAAATTGTCCAAATGAGACCTTAAATGATGTTGAAAATTGTCCACATCTGAACTAGTTTTCAACCTTGAAAGGAGCTTCCGTGAACGTTCATTACAGAACACCTAAAAAAAGTCGTAAAAACTTTCATTCTGGCTCCTCAGTGGACGTCTTTTCAATGCACGTCTTTGTGACAAAGACGTTGAAAAGATGTCTTTTGGACATAATTTTGCTTAGTGGGTTTATTAATATTGTGATGATATGGGGTGATTACGTTTGCTCTTGAAAGATATTTAAACTGTAGCTTAATTAACAGTAATGTGATGACCAATCAGGTACAGGCAAGGACAATTGCAATTGGTTTATTGTAATGCATCCTTTGAACCAGAAAAATACAACACTCATGCTAGAGTAGATCATGATATTTTAGTACCCACACTCTATGGCATTGTCATGGTAGACTTCACTCTGGTCACATGTTCTAGTCACAGTATCCATCTTGTATCCACCACCTTTAGCAACAAAAGTACAATTTGGACTTTGTGTCTTATCTCTTCTACCTGTCTGCTAATATTCATCTCATTTCCTATTTGTCTGACCAAACTCTTGTTTCTTTTTTGTCTCCACCAATAGAGTCGGGCTGAAACAGAGGTGCACGCTGAGCTTGGCAGTTGCCCACTGAAAATTTACATGTGCCATCACCCCGACACGATTGGGATTATCATATAAGGACAGCCCGTGGTCAGAGGTGTGCCAAACCTGTCGAAAGCATGCTGCCTCCTGTTTGAACTTACCTATGCTCTCGACCTCAAGTATCCCTCAAAACTGGTGTATACTTGAGATATATCAGAGGCTTTTTGTAGGATTGGACCCTGTGCGTCCTAAACCATCATCATGTCATTTTTGACATTGCAGTTCCAGTGTGATACAATGTGATGTTATGGCTCACATTTACCTTGATCCAAACATTTCAGATTGGGCAGTTTGGATATTTCACTGTACTGTTCAGAACAGGTTGAAAATACACTTCTACAGTGTTTGTTTTATATTAGAGTGTACATGTGCGGCCACATTTATTTGCTGTTTTGTAGTCACTGTTAAAAGTGACACTGGTTGACATTGAATAAATTATATATTGTTTTCAATCTATCTTCTCATCTTTTTCTTCTTCAATTGAATTTTTAATTGTTATTGACAATTAAAAACAAAAATATTAAAATGTTTATTCACATATGATTAAGTTAATTTTACTAAGAAAACAAAGTTCATAAAACCTAATTAAAATGAGTACAGGTTACTTGTAGCAACTCATAAATAAGTTACCTGTACCAATAAAAGTAGGTTTATCTAACTGAGTAATACTAGTACTATTAGTTAACTCAACTTGATTTTGTTGCGTTTGTATAAAGTAATGTTAAAGTGTTCAATATACTTAAAAAAGGCTGCAAGTTGAATCAACATAAAACATCCAATGCAGCCACTTGCCTCACTTTTTATAAGTTAGATCTAGGTATTACTTTTTACAGTGCAATAAACATTAAATTTCAGCAGATTTTTATCTTTTAAAAACAATATTGCTGTAACTACATACACATACTACATCCAAATGTCAATGTATTATATACATATTGTAAACCAACGCATTTATTGACTACAAACTACCAAAAATCACAGTTCAGCTCTCTACCTCCATCGATTTGAATTGGCGCCGAAGCACTTCCTGGAACTATCTGAGGTCTCCGCGAATCACGTGACAACCAAGCATTTAGAACTTCCGTTGTCGCAACTCTCTCTCTATATGGCTCTGCCCCAGGCTAACTTAGGTCTAAGACTCTATGTTACCTTGGCAACCAGCAGAAACAATCAGTTACATTACAAACAGCCGAAAGAAAATGGAATATGGGCCTTACCATATTCATCATCATTCACCATTTCAGTGGTGTCTTTAAGTTTCTCTTAGGGTCCTCCTCCTGTTTTTGGATATTTCCTCTTAAATATTTCTTTTTTGGCATCTTGTACTATGTTTTTGTATCTTTTCTGTACGTCTTTAACGCTCCGCTCAACGGTCGGATTAACGCTGTTAACTGTCGTAGCAATATTTTTCCAAATTAAACATTTCTTCTTGTTACTACATTCTCCGCAAAATTTCCCAAGTAAAATGTCTTTGTAACTGTTATACTCCACCAACAAACACATATTTTCCGCTGAGGTAAACTGCACTGAGTGGTTGAATGCGCTTACTCGATCCGCCATGTTTTTTGTTTTGAAAAGTGTCTTAGTTTACCCAGAATGCATTGCAGTGTAGTCCTACTTAAGATAGTCAGAGTCTTAAGTGCTTTGTGCAACGGTCTGATTTAGATGTCTATCTGAAGTCAAGTCAAGTCAAGTCAAATATATTTATATAGCGCTTTTCACAATACAGATTGTATCAAAGCTGCTTCACAGTATCAATCAAAACAACTTAACAGTGTTTGTTTATTACTGGAAAAAGACATCCAAGTTTGGTAGAGCTGATCAGTGGTATGATGGGTCATTTAATTTTAATATCCCCAACTGAGCAAGCCAAAGGCAACAGACTATCTGAAGTCTGACTATCTACTATATCTAAGTCAAAGTCTATCTTTGTGAAACCGGCCCCTGGCCTGAACCAGCTCTCTACATGTATTTTTTCTGACATAGTAAACTTTACACTGATTAATATATATATATACATATATATATATATATTCTAATGCGGAGTCAGAATCACAATAAAACAGATCAAAGACTTGTAGAAGCAATCTAAAATAGCATGGTTGCTTCAGCCAATGTTTTTTTTTTATCTAATGTTTGCTTTTCAGTAAGGTTTAGAATAAGGTTTAATGTTGGCGGTGTACATTATATTCAAACATGATAGAGCATTAAACTTTTTTGCCACTCACCGGACATTTCTAAACTACCAAAATACATCCAACAATAAAACATTGCCAGATTCACGTTCATCTGTTTCGGATAAAACTGAACTAGCGTCACTCACTGGACATTTCACTTTGAAAGTGTCGTGACTTTTTTCATGTCGCCACAGGCACGTTTTTCCTTTGTCCAAATCTTTGTTTGAAATAAATGCACGCTTTTAAAAAATGGCTTTTCTGCCATTGCAAAATGTCGATATATCCTGAGCTGCATGTTTTGGTTTGAATGCATTGAAGGGGCAGAGGCTTGTTTAGACAAAAGAAAAATAAATAAGGGAGGGAGGGAGAGATGCTTTCATGTTCTTCAGGAGTAGTTCATCATCCTCTCTGAATGGGTTTCTGCTGACACACATCAGTTTGAAGCAAATGTCTCTCTGTCATAATCACAGCTTTTTATGATCATTTTGCCCTTCCTGCCCTTTCACGGTGTCAGAGAGTAATGAGTGCTTTTAGAGAAGAGAGAAGAGAGTAGAAAAGATAGATAGATAGATTGTTTGTATTTGTGAGAGAGAATCCAACCTCCTCACTTTGATCAATGCCAAGGAAACACACCACAATGTTTGGGGACCTGATATGGAGCCGATCCAACCCATCATGGAATCCCCAAAAAGATCCTTTTGTGTGTTGATTCCTTTATCTGTTGTGTTGTTTGCCATTTGATTAGTGGAGACGTGATGTAAGGATTTGGCATTGAATAGTATATGACCTAAAGACACAGACAGACACTAGATTGAATAGTATTAAAACAAGATTAAACAAACTTAAATCTTACATGTCTATATATGTGTGTCTTACATTTCTATATATGTCTATATTTTATCGGTACGATTATTTATAATAAAAGAATAATGACAAATCGAATACATTAAAGAGCACAATTTTGGGCAATAATTCTAAAACGAAAAAAATATGATTCTATTATATAAATATATATATAAATATATATATATGAAAATTTTAATATATATAGACACACACACACACACACACACCGTGCTGCTCAAAAGTTTACATACCCCTTTCAGAATCTGTGGAAAATATTAAAGAGATTTTTATAGGCTGGCATAGATTTGATAGATTTTTATAGGCTGGCATTTTTATTTCAGGCATATAATACCATTTTATATTATATTTTATTATTCAACAGCTATTCACTTTTTATCCCATAACAATGTTAATGCAAATTATATTATTACATTACATCATATAATGCATACATGTCTTATATTTTGATGTATTTATAAAGCAAATTTTTTGGCAAAAATTATTAACAAACCAAGATAAAGAGAAACATTTTATTTACAGCTTATGCAAATGCATTAATGCATATATATATATATATATATATATATATATATATATATATATATATATATATATATATATATATATATGCCACCATTCACACTTTTTTGGCAATACTTTTTGGCAATGCTAATAGAAGATCACTTTTTAGCAATACTAAACAAATGTAAGTATTGCTAAATGTAATGTTTTTAGCAATACTAAACAAAAATAAATGAAAAAAAAACAAAATAAATTGAAAAATATTATTGAATATTTATAGATTTTTATATGCTGTCATCTTTTGGATGAATAGGGGTGTATTTAATTATATTAATATATTTTAGCCTACAAAATTCCATTTTTAAAATGTTATATATATATATTATAGTAATATTTTATTAATATAAAAATGATAAAACTGTAAGAATAGATTAATATAGCATATTGCACATTTACATGCATATATTTATGTGAGCAAATGAACCTTTGTCCTATCGGCTACATGGAGGTTAAGGAGATAATGTTGTGTAAATAATCCAACCCTGTTCTTTGGTTGAATCACGGGTTTCTGAGTATGAATACAACATTGCAAAAGTCAGCCCTGACACTGCACTGTCACTCCTCACACACGTGTCAGCGCTGCAGGACTTACTTCCGGTTCAACATGGCGGCATCCATGGCATGTCAGGCGGCTGTGCGAGGACTCCGAGCTGCGACCACTAAACAACTGCTTTTGAGCAGAAACCAGGTAACAGATCGCTGATCTGTACGTTTATCCTCCAGTGCGTGATGTGACCAGAAGAAGAACTGAGTACTGCGTGATGCAGCGGCTGTCTGTTCGTTTATAGCGCCAGACATGATGATTTATTCTGCACATAATGCATACTGATTTAACCCGGCATCGTTTTATTGCTTAATTATTTAACTAGCGGTCTGAATACATGCTTTAGTAGAATGACACGTTGGATGGTCCATCCGTCCATCTGGGATTCTTTGGAGAATGATTAATTTATTGTTCAATTTGTCTTATTTCTAAACTTTAACCTTATACAAGATATTTGATAACTGACGTCAGCAAATGTATGTGTTTATAAAACACTGCATGACCTTCAATGCAGTCTGATTAGTGTTTTGCAAATTATTTAGACAGAGATTGTACTCTAAAGATTCTATTCTGATTTTTCTGTTTGAAAGATTCTGTTCTGAAGTTTCAAATCTAATGATTCTGTTCTAGATATGATAAAGCGGACTATATTGAAGTTTCTAATCTGATTCTATTCAAAATATTTACTTTTAAATAGTCTGACCAAGAAATTGAATCACGTAAGGTAATAATAGTGTACATTAGCTTGCTAGATAATTCCTGGAACACTGATTTGAAAGGTGATGCATGTGAATGTTTTGGGGGCTTTTTGCTCTTTTTGCCACAAGTCTTCACTAGGAATGATTGATTCACCTTCAGGTTTGTCCTCTATTCGTTCAGTCAATGAGAAGTAGCCCAGAATCACGTCAATCTTTCAGCCTTTGACCCATCAGTGATGAAACACTTTTTGCTGAGCTGGCCAATAGCAATTTGCTGTCAGTCTAAGGCAAGGTTTAAAGGTCAATTTTAATATTTATCTTAGCTGTACACAGATTTTCCTGCTGTCATAATTGCAATATTAAGTATTTTTTTGCAGATTGTCTTGTTCTTCTTTTGGTCTTGCAACATGAAGAGATTTTCAATGTTTCTTCATTTTGGGTGTCACCTGACTTGTTGTGTACCTTGTGCTTTTGTTTGCTCTGAAAGTTTCCTGTGTGCATACAGACCGTAAACCAGGACAACAGGACAAAGTAGATCAACATTGCAGTTTCAATGGAAATTCAGTCATATGGAAAGTCGGAGGCTATATTTTGACATTATAGAACAAAACTCAGAAGAAAAGTTTCAAGTAGGTCATTGAATAGATCTGAGCTGAGCTATTCTGTTTTAATCCTGACTGATATCCCTAAATAGTTCAGGGACTCTTGGCACAAATATTGCTTGACAGAGGCTTGCCCTCAAAGTATAAGGCATGCAAAAATATAATTTACCTTGAAGGCAGGGTTATTATAGTTACTAAAACTAATATGAAAACCACACCAAAAAAAGGTACTTGAAATAAAATAAACATTATCTTAAATAAAAAAAAAATATATTAAACTTCTTAAACTTGTTTTTTTTAGCTAGTTGCAAAAAAAAAACATTTATCATTCTAATTTAGTTTAACGTATTGTACTAAAGAGAAAACTACAATAAAAATGAATAAAACTTTCTATCTACTGCATATTAAATATATATATATATATATATATTATCATTATATATAATATATATTATTATATATTCTAGTAGACATACTTTTTTTTACTTGGGATGCACCGAAATGTCGGTTATGGTTTCAGGCTGAAATGGTTTTGGTGGGCCGAAATCATGACCGAAAGCAAATTTTGATTTAATGCACACAACATGGATAAGCTACAACAGTTAAACATGTCAACTGTGTGGACAGACTAGATTTACAATATTAATTTCTCGATTTTAATCGGTAAGGATATGGCTTATAAAATCTAAAATCTTTTAGTCTGCGATGATGTGAGCAAAACTTCACTGAACATTTGTAGCGCGCCTGCCATCCAATAATCGCTAAAAGCTTTGTGCTTTGTTACTTTTAATATGTAGCAAAGTTTTACCTTCAAAATTGTGTTGATTTTATTACGAAATTGAAACAATAAATGTCATTTGGTGCTCTTTAGTGTGACAGATCAGTAAGTTGAAAGATACATTACAACTAACCAAAATGGATCCTGTAATCAATCAGTGTTTTAACTGGGGAAAGACGTAAATAAAACAGCCTTTAGGCTATACACCCTCACTTAACATTACAAATGAAACCTCAAGAAAGCTATTCAACATCCATAAACTCATTAGTTAGCTAGAAAAATAACTAGAGAAGAGCATTTTGCAAAATATATGCACTGTATTCATATTCGTTCATTATTTAATGCCTGTTTGAATAAATCCATCATGAAAACAAGTTATTACCATTTATTGTCGTTTAAATGTTTATATTACATAAACAAACTGGAGTAAAAACAGTTCTGTTCTTAAAACGTTGATTCAAAAACGGCCTTATGTGTTTTTTAAATGTTTGTTTTAGCTTGTTGAGAGTTGATTATTAAATACGCTTTTGATTTATTTAATTTAATTAATTAATTATTTATTTATTTTCGGTTTTTGACCAAGTGCATCCTGAATTTTTGGTTTCAGTTTAGGCTAGAGTTGTCAAACTTACCAGTAGTAAAAAAAATGTTGATGGTCACGGTACCAGCATTTCTGTACCAGTACCAATACCAATACCAGTAGTACAGAGTACCAGACATATTCGGCTGATATAGACACTGCTTTCAAACTCTCTTGTTCGTGTTTGGTTGAGTGCTCTCTGAGCATCATTTATTTATGGCATGTGTTTACAAGCATTGAGCATTGTAGCCAATCACAATAGTATCTGTTGAGTGCGTGAACCAGTGGCCTTTCAGAGCTAGTCAGTAAGTTAGGCAGAATCTTAAAGGTATAGTTCCTCTAAAAATGTTTCATTCTGTCATAATTGACTCTCCCACAAGTTGTTCTTCAGCTAAAGAAATAACTTGAGGGTGAGCAAATGATGACATGACAGACTTTTCATTTCTTTAACACCGCTGAAAACGCACAAGGTTTTGTTCTAAACGGCCCTCACTCTTGCGAATTCTTTCATTATAACCTCCAAAGTGTAAACACAATGTAAATAAGAGATTTATTGTACATAAAGACAGCTTTTTTTATTACAACGGGAGTTTTCGCAGTATTCAGTGAGCTTGTGCTTGACACGAGAGGCTTATGAGTTTGAAGGGATGGCGTATCTCTTGCTTTGTTTATTCACAATCTGAATACAAGTTTGACTGCAAAGTTTCTGGATTGACAACCATATATAAATGCACGATTGAATCGGAAACTGCTGTGATTGACAGTGATAACCAACGGACGAGACAAAACGGGACAAACTTTTTTAAAGTAGCCTACTTCGTTTTTGCTCTGGTACCAAAATTGGAAATTGTACTGGTATTGGTACTGACTACTAAAATTTTGGTACAGTGACAACGCTAATTCAAACTATTAATAAATACTAATAGTATCGCAATGATGATAAAATAATCATATATATCGGTGTGGTTATATATGGGAATCTGAAAATAACAGCAGAAGTCATTTAATAGCAAAATTCTGTTTACACATTATTGGCTTCACAATACACCTCTTTGAACACCACAGATGTCACATCTGTTTCCTTAAGGCATCAATACTGTCCTAAAACAACTTTATTCTTGAATTACTTCACAAAAACGCACGCCATCTCATAAATCTTTACACCAGTTTGTACACAGAACAAGGATTGCCTTAAAAAGCATCTTTCCAGTGACTTTAGCACACACAGCTAGTCGAAGCACTGACTGACCTGATTTTGCGACTGGATTGCAGTCGATTTATATTGACCCAGCTCCCAGAATGCAGCACACGTAGCATTGATGTCATCATGAAAGTCTGTTTAAATTATTTTTGAACTAAATGCTCAATTTCTACTATCTGTTACTTTCTGACCTTATTATTATTATTCATTTTGTCCCTGAGCTGGAGTTTCAAAAGTTATATAGAGAGGTTTTATGCAGGAAAATGACATTGGATCAACACCAATTTAGTGTATAAGGCATCACTTCATTACTTCGTGCAGTCCACTCTGCTGCCATAAGAGGTGGTTTAGTAGTGCATGCAGAGTGCTTAGCTAGCATATATTTTCATTTCGGTTGTATAATGAGATGCAACCCGCTGAAACAGGGCACAAGCCTCATCCATCTGAGAGAGAGGACCTGCTCTAATGAGAAAGTACATAGTGCCAAGTGCACTTATATTATCTTTATTGAAATGACTTATTTAAGACTTTTTTTGGTATCAATGAATAGTGACATCTTTATGGTAATAGATCTTTAATGCAGAGGTTTATCTCAACTATTTGTAGAGATGAAAAGGACCTCTAAATTGTGGGTGTGAAGGTCAGAAGTAATTCAAGAAGCACATTTTAAAGCACAGATGTCAAGATGTGATTCAGACACTAATGAGATGTAGATTAGAGCAGCTTTTTCCATTTTTCTCTCAGTTTGGACTTCTCGCGTTTGGATCAAATCCATGTTTCACCATCTCCTTAGGAGTCTGGCTGTCAGCCAGTTCCTGACAGCGATCAATGAGCTGTTTTTATTAATCAGTGACTTGCATGCTTCGAATTTTGCACTACGCCTGGGTAAAAATATACATTTTTGATTAATCGGATCTTCATTTTAACGGCCGCGAAAACGATTGTTACAATCATAACGGAAAAGTGTTTTAATGATTTAGCACTAATTATAAACCCACTACCAATAATCAAGATTTTTTTGTAATGTTTTTGAAAGGAGTCTCAAGGCTGCATTTATCATTTATTTAATTAAAATAACGTAAAACAGTAATGCTGATAAAAAATGAATTTTCCGCAGCCATTACTCCAGTCTGATCCTTCAGAAATCAATTGAATATGGTGATTGGGTCTTCAGTTATTGTCATTATTGTTTGTGTTAAATTATTAATAATGGATCAGAATTTTCATAATGTACAATATTTGAAGGTTCCCTGTATAATTAAGAGAAATACCTAAATATAACCAA